AACATAGGGCCATAACCTGAGAGAATCGGGAAGCGCCAAGTGTCCAATTAGGATGGCTCAGGGGCCAACTATATATAGGCTGACTAAGTCGGGACGCTAAACCTAAACGGGATGGAATCCTGACAAAAACCCACTAACTCAAAACATGTTAACACGTGACTGCTTCATGAAACCAGTTGTCACTATCTATATATGTGGGCATAGATGCTGCTAATTGCAACAGCATGGAATAATTGATAACAAATTCACCCATCAATAATTCTCTGGTTTATCAACAGAATCAAACGGTAATACTCCCGTCAATTCTCCTCCACAGTATCGCGATAGAGATACTCCACGAACATGTCAGGAACCTGGCCACCAGCCATTTCATTCTCCTCTGCAAATGCTCTGATCTCGGCTTCTTCCTCGTCCGTCAGCAAAATCTGGAGAGCAGCCCAGTTCTCCTCCAAATACTTGACCCTTCTCGTCCCTGGAATGGCAAGAATATCGTCCCCTTGTTTCAAGAGCCAGGCGAGTGCCAGTTGAGATGCAGTGCAACCTTTCTTCGCCGCCAGTGCCGCGAACTGACTGGCAACTTTGACGTTGCGCTCACGGTTCTCTTCTAGAAACTTCGGTATGATCTTTGGTCGCTTATCCTCACTGTCGCCGACTGGCTCACCCGCGCTGAAAGTGGACGTGAGGACCCCGCGTCCAAGGGGACAGGAAGCCACAAGCGCCACCCCAAGTTCCCGACAGGTTGCCAGGAGATTCGTGCCTGCTGGGCCCTCAATATCGCGTGAAAACACACAATACTCGGTTTGGACGGCCACGACATTGGCGATCTTGCATGCGCGCCGAAGGGTCGCGGAAGACACGGAAGACACACCAATGTGCTTGATTTTGCCTTCTCTGTGGCTGAATCAGCTTCTGAGCGTTTACCAATGATTGAACTTGTATCCTTACGCCTGCAGCTCTACCATAGCTCTCATGGTCTCCTCGATGGGAGTCTGTGGGTTGGGACTGTGCAAATAGTCTGAGGGAGAAAGCTGGTTAGCAATACTGGCCTCGGTCCAGTCGACGGGGTTTGGTGAGCTAACAAAGGTCAATCGAATCGACCCCCAATCTTCTGAGGCTCTCATCGCAAGCTTTCTTGCAATATGAGGCAGAACTGTTGATCTCGTGGGGTTTTCCCCCCTGGACAAACCCGAACTTGGTCGCGAGAAAGATCTGGTCGCGCTTTCCGGTGCGTCGGAACCACTTGCCCAGTAGCTCCTCATTGTCGCCATAGAGACTAGTAGGTTGGTTTAATCAGCAATCACAGCCCATTTGATTGATGACTACTTGCGGAGACGCACTCGGATGTATCCCAGAATGTCTCTCCCAGCTCCACGGCACGATCGAGGACCTTGAACCGTTCCTCATCGCTGGGAATCGAGCCATAGACCCAAAAGGACATCCCCATCAGACCGAGGCCCAAGGCCGGAACTGTTGGACCGTTTCTGCCCAGCTGTCGGTTGACAATCATGCTGGAATTCATATCAACGAAGAAGTTTGATATTATATATATGTCGGCGGAAGACTCAGGATTGGTATGATCCGGGAGTTGTCAAGGTTGAACCATTCGGACCCATGCTTGATACTTATAGCTATTGCTCCTACCCAGATCAATGAGATCTATCAAGATGCGTACCGCAAAGAACGCACTGCAGTCCATGTACCTGAGTCATGACGCTTTGAACATAGGGCGTTGGACAGCCAATCAGAGTACAGTATTGCCGAGCAAGCCTATTGGCTTTAAAAACAAACAGCTTAAGGACGGAAGAAAAGATATTCTATTATGATCTTCTGGAGAATGGCCATCACTGCCATGATATACCATAATACGGGCACCGTTTCCGGTATGGGCAGATGAGACCATTAACGATCTCCAATCAAGTGTAAGAACAGCCGAATGGGCCAATAAGGAACATCAACGAGCTCCACTAGTGGGGTTCCCACAGGAGGGCGCCCGGCCACCAAGATCATCATTCATCCCACATCAGCCTAGGTTCTCGTTTCCTGTAGAGTGTGGTGACACTGTGGTCTTGCAATCGAATGGCTAGCTGGGAGTGACTACTCGACGCATGGGTAAAAGAAGAGTCAGGACCGGCTGCCTGACATGCCGGTAAGTCTATGTCGAAAGTGTGTCTGCGTGTGGCTGAGGCCATTCCTAGGATACGCAAGGTCAAATGTGATGAAGGCTATCCGGCGTGCCGTCGGTGTCTTTCCACTGGTCGCACCTGTGATGGATATGGCATCTGGGGCGGCGGAAGCTCCAACAGGCCTAGGAAACCTTCGACCGTCACTGTGAACTCTGCGCTTATCCCCCAGCCAATGTCGGGTTTCCACCTGGCCACGAGCACGAGCAATGAAGAGGGCCACTATCTTCAATGGTTCATGGAACGCACTGGGCCGAAAATGTCAGGTTCATTCTTTTCAGAATTCTGGAGCGGCTTTGTCCTACAGGCAAGTATGAGCGAGCCCGCAGTGCTGCATGCCATCCTTGCTCTGAGTTCGGTCCACCGGCAAGGCATCTTGAACGATGACGGTCTCAACACATGGGACGAGGAAAGGATGACTGTGACCCGCTATAGTAAGGCAATCCATCATCTGCAAACTCATTTCAAGGCGAAGGACCGGACTGCCTTTCGAATAGCTCTCACTGTCTGCGTGTTATTCATTGCGCTAGAGCTGCTTCGAGGCCATTTCGAATCGGCGCGAATCCATCTCCAGCAGGGCTTGAACCTCCTCGAAGGGTCAGGTCTGTTGAAAAGAACAGGTCACCTCCTTGTAGGATCAAGTCAAGAGTATGTTGATGACTGGATTGTGCAAGCTTTGTCGAGGTTGCACATTCAACTCGAGCTGCTGAAGCAAGTCCACCGTGGTTCGTTTTTACGGCTCCAGATCCCTTTCTTGGAATGTCAATCGGTCACATTTCCCTCCGTAAAAGAGGCATGGTCCTGGCTTCATCACCTGATGGGGACAGTCTTTCGTTTGAACGGAGAAGTGCGTGAACGACTCTGTCCAGAGGCCAATCCCCCAGCGGAGCTGCTCCAGCGTCAGCGATCCATTCATGAGAATCTTGCCCAGTGGCTAAACACATACGATACCACGATCCAGGTCATGCAGGGCCGTATGCCCAAAGATCAAATCCAAATCTACGGGCTACTTCGCACATACCACATTATGATAACTATCATGGCGGCGACCTGTCTTTATCCTGGCGATGAGATGGTCTTCGACCTGCACACCGACCAATTTCTGGAAATGATCACCATGTTGGCGCATCTCTGGAGATTCCTCTCGATGTATTCCGCCTTTGGCTCTCGACCGGCGCAATTCTTCATGTCGCGGTCGATTGGGGACATGGGCTGGATTGCTCCACTATACTATACAGCCATCAAATGTCGCGTGCACCGGATTCGACTCCACGCCATCCGGCTTCTGGAAGCCAGCTTCCACAGGGAAGGCTTTTGGGATTCCCGGATCTTGGCGTTCGTGGCGCGAAAGGTGATGGAGATGGAGGAGGGCGACTTTTATCAGCTTTTGGATGCGGCGGATGATTTTGCGCTGCATCGCCCTCCAGGGCGCGAAGATATGCTGTTTCCACCACTACCCGAATCCTGCAGACTGTCTGATGTTGAAGTGAGTCTGTTAGGTGACCCTGTGGGTACGATTTCAATTCTTTGTAATCAGAGCGGCCACAGAACAGATCGCAGAGTCTGTGTTGCAAGTTACGAGGCTGCATTTTGACTGACACTATCTGTGACACTACTGTTGATTGAATACATGCCTCTTCAATAGAGCCCAGGAGTGTAATATAAAACACATTCCATAAATCATAGCTGGGGATAGATCTGGCGGCAAGAGCCATCCATTCGGTAGGTAGGGCCAGTCCTCTTGAATGAGTCCAAGACAGCGCTTGCTTTAGTCCACCTTTTGAACATCCTGTGTTATAGTAGAATTATTATTAGTGCAAAATCCATTGTGGTGAGATCCTGGCGTCGACAATAGAATGGCAGCCTGAAACCATCATATCATCGTCAATCCGCACAGTATCTGCGGGCCAACCACTCAGTGACTGATTAGACCTTGCCAGCAGCACTCTCTCGTCGGCTCCATGTCGAGAAACGCATAGGGCGGAAGGTTCCCGTCCTCGATGGTGGGATCCCGTCCTCTTCTTCCTTAGCCGTTGGTGCTGGCCGCACCTTTTCCTTCCGCTTCTTATATAGCCACCAACTAGACATAACAACCAGCGTGAGAGGAACTGTTATTGCAGCCCAGAGCCACCATATCCACGTCGCTTCAAACCCTTTATTATCGCCATTGCCGTTGAAACTACCCGCGCTCAGGATGGTCTATGGAAACCAATGTCAGAATACCAGGATTGATTCCCTCCTCAGAACCCACCTGAAATGCCACTCACCGCTATGAATGTCCCAGGGAGAAAGACCATTGTCAAAGCAGCAATCGCATTCATGCTGGTACTGTCTTGTTTCATGCTCGCCGCCAATTGGATATTCTGCTGCGTCACAAGGCTATATACCAGCGCCATCGTGCTGTCTTTGCGGTTCTTGTAGTTCAGAAACCATATCTTCTGCTTCTGCATGGACTCGATGACATACGTGATCGCGTCGGAGGCGCGCTCATAAGCCCGAGCCGGGCTGCCGATGGCTTCGTGCAAGCGCGCATGTGCTGTTCGAATTGCCGTTGCTATAATGATGACGACATTGGCATTCCCCAGATGCGCATCCGCGTTTTGGGAGATGATTTGCAGTTGTTTTGTCAGCTCCCCTAGTTTGCGTCGGTCGTTGGCTTCGAGCCCCGCGAGATGGTCGTCGACCTTGTTGATCTGAGTCCACACGAACTGCCGGAATCGTCGGACATGGTATTTCGAGGACTCGAAAGATAATGTGGAAAGGATTACAGCGAGATCAAATGGGTTGTCGAGTAGTATACGTGCCCTTTGGTCTGCAGGTGCTGTTTTGATAGTGAGGTTCAAAATGTTCTGCAGGGCTTGGATACTGGTGTCTCCTTCCTTGTGGGAAATGATATAGGTTGTGAGACGCAGTGCTGCGTCATAGCGCACATATACCGATAGAGGTGCCCATAGAAAGTGCAGGTTCCAGCGCGGATGTTGACAGTAGAAGTCTGCAGATGTCAGGCAAGTTCGAACGTGGAAAATGCTACAGTCAGATGAAACGGACCACAAGCTAATATGTTACTATTGCGATCTGACGTCCATCTTGTCTGGGGTGCCCAGTAGTCCGGTCTCCCAAGCAAGTTCATGATGAACGACGGATCAACGTTCAAGTACTTGAAAAGATCCATGGTGTTGTCTTGAGTCATGGAGATTACTTGCAAACGAGGTATGCTTCTCTGGTACGAGAGGCACAAAGCTATTCTGATTGTCAGTAGGCGGAGGCGACATGTGTGTCTGGAACGTACAAGGCAAGTAGTCTCGACGGTTTCGAAGGGCCGGATGGTGCATTCGGGTGAGAAGGTTTTGGAATGCTCTAACTTCATCCATCAGCTCCGTTTGGTCTGGTGGGACAGATCCTCTACCCGAAGGAGTTGAGCCATTCCTCCAGAGTCGAGTGTATGCCATTCTTTCCACTGTCAGTAATCAATGAAGATCTGTAAGACGATCGTTCTGCCTGACCTGCAGTGTTTTCAGTCACGTCCAGACACTCGATTTCTGTCTCGTCGGAAAGGTTTCGAGGATTTTTCAAATGTGTGTCATGCTGCACCGCTGCGAAGACATCCTGGAGGGACTGTAGATTATCGAGAGGGTAGTTGCTGCGGTCTAAATCAAAGTTAAAGTCGAGATCCTTCGCTTCCAAATCGCTTGCTTGAGCATGACGCCAGGTATCGTTCATCTTAATGGAATTTTTTTTTTTTTTTTTTTTTTTTTTTTTGTTATTCTCCTTTTCTTGGGGAATAATGGTATTTTTATTTCGGGTTTTATCGGGTGGGTATATGCTTATTTTTTTTTTGTAATTTCTCGGACTCCTGGAGTTAAAATTTTTTTTTATTGAAAAAAATTAAATTTTTTTTTAATCTTTTTTCGTGAGTTCAGTAAATTTTGTCTGAATTTGGTCGGAA